TTATTTTTTGCTAAAATTTAATTTCCAAATATTTGTGAATTTGGTTTATTTTAAACTTCAAATTTTTAATGAATATACCAAATTATATAAATAATAAACATATAATTCCTAATTGTCCTGATAAATAACAACTTATAAGAATCTTTTATTTAATTGTCAAGCTTTTTAACCCAAAGAACATTATTTAACAATATTAAAAATGTATGAAATGTTAGGTCAGGCTTAACAAAAAATGCAAAAATAATATATTGAAAATAGGTACCTCTTAACCTCTAGGTAAAAAATCTAGTGTAAAATAGGTGTCTAATGTGTCATTGATTAGGTTTAGTTCATATAGTAATGCTTTATTCAAATTTGAATTCAATAATTAATCCATAGTACTTTAACGAAAAATAATCCTGATGACTGATGACTGATGAGCAATGAAGGTCTGTTAGCCTAGGTACATTATAATCTATCACAGTATATTTGTACCCTAAAAAATAAAAAAAACATTTATATTATAATTTAGGTAATATAACAGTTTAATGTTTTTATTAATAATATAAATTGAATAAAGTTCACAGTAATAAAATTCAAACACATGTGTATCTAGAGTTCATTTTAAGAATGTATTTGAGATACCTAGAGCCCAGATGCAGATGATGGTCTACAACACTATAAAGCTTAACTTTAGATTCTCTTGTTTGCTTTCATAAGGCAGACCGGCATTTAAATATATGAGTTTTCTTTTTTAATCTAACTAAATAATTTATCACCGTACTTTTTTTGTCAATTCTCTATATTTTTGTTCTACACTACGCTATACAACCAGCTAATTTCAATTTGTATATCGAAAGATTCAACGTTTGGTGCAGAAGCAAAAATAATAGCAATGCCTAAAGTCACTAAGCAGCAATTGTTAACCAGTCTTCTCTTCTTCTCCAAGAAATCAAGCGGTATTACTTTCACAAACAAAAGAAAAATTAGTGAACTACAAATAATAAAATTAAAAAACTAAAAATGGTCGTTGTTTTGTTAGAAGGTACATAATTATTACATTAATTCGTGTTCATATATACAGTAGAAACCGTTTATAATGACGTTCAAGTGACCAAAGAAAATAGGTAGGTAATAATAATAATAATAATAATCGGTTGTCATTATAACCAAAATGACGAAAAAAACAATTGTAACTTCAATACATATTATTATTATTATTTATTTATGCAATGTACAATATAGAAAAAAGTAAAAATAAAAACATATAATTATGTACATATCGTACATACATATTTAAATTAATTAGTTCAATTATTATTTAAATAAATCTGTTATTTTATATTAAACTTTGTTAGTATAAAAATCAAGCTCTATTTTTTTTCTAGTTCTTCAAAATATATCTTTGGACTTACGTTATTCAGAGCCATGTAATTTGCTAACATTTTTGCTGCATCAAACACTGCATTAATAAAAAAATCTCCATCGGGAGTATCAGCTTCTTCACTATTATCGTCTTCTTCAGGTTTTTCRGGTTGGTTAATCAATGAAGAAATAAGTTCTTGATCACTTAATGGTTCTTAAGTTAGCACATGTATATATATATATGTATGTATATCAATACATAAAATGCTTTAAAACATTTCCCAGTACTTCATAGTTCATATTTCATATGAATGGTAAAAATACTATAATACATTTTCA